TGCGTATAAAAAATCTCAAACAACAAAAAGCGCGTCGGGATCAATTCGGGCAGTCACCAATTGCTGCTAGCACTGTTCGCTCGAGTACAGCGAAACAGGGCTCCTTACTGTTAAGCGAAGAGAATACGGCCGTAAGCATTGACATGGCCGCAAGTGATACAACACCATTGCTGGGTGCAGTCGGAGGTAGTGGAATACAGACGCAGCAGCAGATTGCATTATATGATGACTCCGATAGTTACGTGCAACAGCGGGCTGAGACTATGCAGAACATTGAATCGACTATTGTCGAGCTAGGCGGTATATTTAAACAATCACCACATATGGTTAAGGAGCAAGAGGAGACTGTGGAGCGTATCGATACAAACATACAAGATGCCGAATTAAACATAGAAGCGACGCATGGTGAAATATTGAAGTACTTCCAAACTGATGATAAAAATCTTCGCAGTACTGATATTCTTTTTCATATTCTTCGTAGTTTTCCTTATATAATAACGAATCTGTTTGTGACACGGCAAGATTTTAACAAGTTCAGATGCGCGGTCTTAAAGTTGTGGGTTTTTAAATACATAAATATATAATATCCTATTCATATACATACATATAAAAAACACTAATGTAATAATGAAATTAAGTCTTATATGCCACGTCAAACAGGATATCTTTTAGAAGCAGACACGTAGGGTTAGACACTAATTCTGCCAATAATAAAATTACTTCACTTAGTTTCACTTTTTTCAAAATTTCTATAAAAAGTAGAGATGATCCTGTGTAATAAAACGAGAACCGATTTATGTAATCATAAATATATAAAGAAAAGTTTAAAACTAAATAAAATAGAAATTGTTATTGGCATTAAGTACATGTGCTTCTTTATTAATAATTCAAATATTATGTTCAAACAAATTTAAGTGAAAGGTATGCAATTTCAAGAAAAAAGCAATTGCTTAGTTTTTATGCATACGGCCTAACATTTCGGGTAGGAAGCAGAAGGTCAGTATGTATAAATAAAAAGCTTTATCAGGGGAACGTGCTATATTTTCAAATAACAAATAAATAAAAAATACATCGTAATGAAATGTTGCCGTTTATTGCATGTGATCTGATGCCGGATTCAATTTATAGGTTCTCGTAGGTAGCTCGTTCTCGAAGTCATCAGTGGTGAAGTGTTTTACACAGATGACGCTGGTTCGGGCGTTGAAATCCGTTGGTCTCCGGCAGAACTGGATCCACTTTTCCACCAACTCAATGTCGGCCGGAAAAGTAAAAAAACTGCACCCAGATCCTTTGGCACTAACACTAGCACAATTAACCACTGCACACCTCATTTTTTTCTTTAATTTATAACTTTTTTATAAGTTTTCACAAAAAACAAAACAACGCTCAAAATCTTTCCAATTTGTAAATTTGTAAAGTTGAAATAAACTAAAATGTCACGAACCGGAAAATATAAACAAAAGTATTGTGTGACGTCAGCGAATGGGTGGATGCTGTCAAATCGACGAAGAGAGGGTTAGCGGTCCGCGAATGGCGCGACCTTTATTTTCTGGATCGTGAAAATAATTCAACTTGCAGTGAAAGAGAACAGAAGACTATGCAAGTAAAATGTTTGCTCACGTTTAGTATAAACATATATATGTACATACATACATATTATTAAGCTCTGCAATGCATTCGCCAGCAGGTGTAGCCGTTAGTTTTCCCGCTAGGTAAAATTATTTTTTAAGTTAAATTGTTTTCTCGCCTACTTAGTGGAATCATTTGGACTTGAGATTCGAAAGGGTGAGCGCGTGTACATATTTACATATAGAAGGCACAAATGTAAGTTAATTTGAATATGTACTTGTGTATATACATATGCACTATGAAATAAATTTTAATAAATATTTCAGCACAACTGTCAGCAACATTGGTTTTTATTTGGAAGGCAGTGCTCGATTTATCTGCAAAAACACGCGAATCAACACATATAGCAGCAGTTAATTTCATTAAAAGAAATTGCGTGTTAGATAAAAATGCTTCAGTTTAAGATAGACTTTATATATAAAGGAACTTTTCTATTTACAGCCACGGTTACCATCCGTCCTTTATTTTAACCCCCTGTCCTTTATAATTTTTTCAAAATAAAGGACGCCTTTTATCCTTTATTTCTTAAACTGCCCTTTAAATCAGATCTGCATTTTTCAGAGGTAAATTTTTAAACACAGAATATGAAAACTAAAAATGTCCCTTATAAAATATAATGAAAACCTTCGCCAGTTCGTTTCGCACTCCACTTATGGGTTTTTATTTAATAGGTAATCTTTTCACAATCTATAGAGCACAGGGAAAGTTGTGCCCAGGATCGTGTTGCACGCTGAATTTCCTGTTCCACTGAAAGAGAACAATAAACCCCCTGCTGCACAGTGGTTCAAAACTGGCATTTAGTGGTCGTAATTCACTGGAACCTTCATTTCTTTCACTTAATTTGATCATTTTTTTTATGAAAGCTTATAATATTTGTAAGACCAGTTAAGCCTAATCTGTAAATTTTTACTTGATTAGATTAAATTTTTTCTGTGCAAAATGCAAAGAGGTGGAAATTTTGAAGAAAATGTATTCTCCTTTTCCAGGTAATAAATGTTACATAGCAAAGACTAGTTAAAAACAAACGAAAAAATTACAACAAAAAAAATGTTTGAAATGTTATAAAAATTTTCACCGAAATAAATTATTTTTTTTTTTGGTTTTTAGTAAAAATTGGTTCAAAAATGAAGACTATGGTGAATTATGAACATTAAATTCCAATTTTGAACCATTGCTTTGGCTTCATTTTTCGGCATCGGTTAATTAAGTGGTAAATATTTTCCTAAATCATTTTGAAAGAAAAATGTCCTTTATTTTAAGTTGGTTAATATGGTCACCGTATTTAAAGCAACAAAATAAAATCTTTATAAGAGCTGTTTTCATTGTAAAGGTTAGCTCAAGCAGCAGCGGTATAGCAAATAATAAGTTATTGGTCGGAGTTTGATCACCAATTGGTTTACTTTATTGATTTCACTTTCTTTTATACCAAATTCTTACACTAACACTTACAAATTATTTACGAACTAGAATGTATACAAATATACTACTAATACCTACAAACTAACTACATAACTCTAAAATATGCTAAGTCAACATATGATTGCAATAAATATATAAATATGTCAGTCGCATTGACAAACTGACGTTGTGGATCAGTTAGTCACTGCGACTGTCTTTGGCGGTGTCTTTGACCGTCCGCACAAGTGTAACAAGATCCTCGCTATGTGCGATGGATGCAGTCTTTGCATAAACTCCCGCTGAGTTCAATGTAACTGATTTGGGTAAACTGTTGTTTGTGTACATTCCTATTTGTTTATACATTACTTATGTGCACATGACAATTAAAGTAAAAAGGGCGATGTGCTTATGCTACAGCCTTTTGCTCTTATATATAATATATAATTTGTAGTCAACTATATATATCTATTTTACTGATTCAGTGAACCGCTTGATGTTTGTTTGGGTTGACAAAATTTTAATCGTTTTAGGATCTTGTTACCATTGTTTTGTTACGTGTTTTCCTTTTGTTTTTTTTTTTGTTTGTTTGTATATTTTATGTGATATTTGATTTTGTTTTCTTTTGGCTTGTGCCGTATATAAGGTTGAGTAAATTGGAATGCTTATGTGTATTATTATTATTATTTTTTTTTTTTAAATTATTATTATGGATAAAGTGGCATGCTTATTTTTAAAGGTTTTAAATTGGTTTAAGCCTATTTTTATGAATTACGATTTCCTTTTTGTTTTTATTGCTATCTCCTATGCTATGTGGAATTAAAGTATAGTTGTTATTTTTATCAATGGTTTTAACTTTATAGTGTCCTGTATATCTATTCTCTAACTTATGGGAGGCCTCTTCTTTAACTAATACTAAATCTCCTATTTTAATTTCCTTACTATAGCTATTTTTGTCATAATTGGATTTTTGCTTTTCTTTAGCTTCTTGAATTAATTTGCTTGCTCTTTGCTGTGCTATTTGAAGTTTGTATTTTACTTCTTTGTCATACGCCTCATGGTTGTATACCGGGCTAATTTCATTTTCTTCCAAAAATTCATAATTTGGTGGTTGTTTTGCGAATATTAGTTCGAAAGGACAATAATTATGTGTTGTTGATGGCGTTGTATTGTAACAATAAGCGAAATACCTGAGGTATTCATCCCAATCGTCTTTGTCACTGGATATGTATGCACGCATATATTCGTTGAATGTCCGGTGACTGCGTTCTACAGTACCCAAAGTCTGGTGATGGTACGGTGTAGAAGTTTTATGCTCAATTTTTAACAATTTACACAGTTCTTTGAACAGGCTATTTTTGTATTCTGTGCCCATGTCTGTTAAAATTGTTTTCATTTGGCCATAAATCAGGATGAAATGCTCGAATATGGCTTTAGCGACAGTTGTTGCATGTTTGCTTGGAACTGGAATCGCTACCAAATATTTGGTTAGATCGCATATAATGGTAACTGCATATTCGTTTCCATTTATCGACTTTGGCAATGGGCCGACTGTGTCGATTTGTACAATATCAAAAGCCTTCGGAGGTGTTTCTGTTATTGTCATTGGTTCTTTGATATGTTTATTAATTTTATTTTTCTTGCAGTGGATGCAGTTCTTTACATATTTTCGTATGTCATTTTTCATATTCAGCCAGCTATATTTCTGCTTGATTTTATCTGTCATGCGATTTATTCCTGGGTGGCCACCACTAATAGGATCGTCATGATATTTGTGCAGAATTTCTTTAATTTTCCCGGGATTTGTCACACATA